GTCAATACTAAACTAGTTTTAGGACTACTACTAGTTTGAATTTGGGATTTTAAGTAATTATTATAAATTATATTAACTATGAATTAATGTGGTAAAATTATTATTAAATTTTATTTATAATATAATTGAATATCTATATTTTTGTAGATGGATCATCGTTTGTGGATGTATAATATGCATTATGAAATCGGTGCTGGTTTGATACCTGAATTTCTTGACGATGTTAGAGATTTTATTGAACATACAATGACACTTGACATTTTCAAGAATAATGGATTGGTTAGGTGTCCTTGTAGTACATATAGGTGCTTAAATTTTTTTTGAACCAGATACAATCATGGTTCATTTGTACCGTAATGGATTTAACACTAGATATTTTGTATGGATTGATCATGGAGAAAGGGATAAATTGAATGGTATGTTTTATAATTCGATGCCTGTGGATGAATATAATATGCTTGCACCACATAGCCAAATTAGGGTTGAACATAATAAGGTTCATGAAATGATCAATTATGCTTTCGGGGTTCAAGGTGGGATGGAACCCGAACAATATTTTGATGAAGCTCCTAATGAAGAAGCAAGACACTTCTATGATCAATTAGAAAAGTCTAAGTCGTCCACTATGTGAAGGGAGTCCGCATTCGGCCTTGTCAGTTGTGGTTAGATTAATGAATATTAAATCAGATTGGAATGTTCCTAATGCGGCTATGAACTCAATGGTTGATCTTTTGGGTGAACTAGTTAATCTGGAGTTTAACATACCTAAGAACTTCTATCAAGCAAAGCGTTTGGTTTCCAAGTTATGATTGACGTATGATAGAATTCATTGTTGTGTTAATGGCTGCATGTTGTTTTACAAGACTGATAGTGAATTAGAAAATTGTAAGTTTTGTGGACATGTTTGTTAAAGAGGACTCCGACTGGAAATATGGTCTCAGTTAAGGCGATGCATTATCTTCCTCTTATTCCTAGGTTAAAGAGGTTGTATGCATCAATGAAGTCTGCTCCACATATGAGATGGCATCGTGAATATAAAAGGCCGTCGGGTGTCTTGTCTCATCCATTTGATGGTGAAGCATTTTGATAATGTATATCGTGATTTTGCTAGTGAACTAAGAAATGTTAGATTGAGGTTGTGTGCAGATGGCTTCACACCATTCTTTAATGCTGCTTCGCCTTATTCATGTTTGCCAGTATTTCTTACTCCGTATAATCTTCCTCTTGAAATTTGCATGACCAATCCCTACATCTTTCTAAGTTGTGTTATTCCAGATCCCCGTAATCCAAAAAGTTTGATTGGTGTCTATCCACAACCATTGATAGATGAGCTCAAACAATTGTGGTTTGAAGGCGTTTTGACTTATGATATATCAACTAAGCAGAATTTCATTATGCGTGCTTCTTTAATGTGGACTATTAATGATTTTCTTGCATACGGGATGTTGTTTGGTTGGATGACAACTGAAAATCTAACATGTCCGTATTGCATGGAAAATAGTAAGGCATTCACTTTAAAACATGGCAGAAAAATACATGATTTGATTGTCATCGCCAGTTCTTGCCAATGGACCATGAGTTTAGAAAGATGAAAACTGTATTTAGGAAAAATAAGATTGAAAGTGACCCCCACCTCCATTTCTCACAAGGCATCAAATTTGGTTGAAAGTTTCTCAATTACCTAAAGTTACAGAAGCTTCACCTTCTAGACTTCCTGGATATGGTGTTGAACATAATTGGACCAAACAAAGCATATTTTGGGAGTTGACAATCTGCTACGACATAATCTTGATGTGATGCACATTGAAAAAAATTATTTTGACAATTTATTTAACACAGTGATGGATGTTAAGGGTAAAACAAAAGACAATCCAAATGGACATAAATGAATATTGTAGGAGAAAAGAGTTATGGCTGCATGAATTACAAAATGGTAAAATAGTTAAGCTCAAAGCCAGCTTTTCATTCACATTGGATGAGAAACGTGAAATTTATGAGTGGATTAAAAATTTGAGGATGCCGGAAGGCTATGCTACGAATTTAGGAAAGTGGGAAGATATGAATGAAGAAAAATTGATAGGTATGAAAAGTCATGATTGTCATGTGTTCATGGAAACTTTAATTTCTATCGTTTTTATCCATCTACCCGAAAGTATTGGAAATCAATCACAGAGATAAGTCTTTTTTTTAAAGATTTGTGTTCTCGAAAGTTGTTGGAGAGTAGTTTAGACAGGATGGAGGAAAATATTCTTGTTATTACTACTAAGTTGGAGAAGATATTTCCATGTGATTTTTTTTGATGTAATGATCTTCCAATTCACCTTGTACAAGAGGCTCGCCTCGGAGGTCCGGTTCAAACAAGGTGGATGTATCAATTTGATAGGTATCCATTTGAAATATTCACTAAGTGAGGATATATTCACCAAGTCTTTTATTAACATATATGTACATATATACATGTAGAAAAATTGGCAGTTCCAAGTAAACAATTAAGCAAAGGGGAAAGATCGAAAGATCAGTTGTTCAAGGTCATATTGGGAGAGAAACTGGTGATTTTTATTCTTATTACTTTGGTAATGTTATGTCATGTAGGAGAACCAGGCCCAATCGCAATTATGAAGGTGATATTGATCCTTTATTTTCACTGATATCAATTTTTAATCAAAATGGTTGAGGATCTTCAAAGTGTGGAAAGCGAGGCTTCACTAATATGGAAACGCAATCAGCTGTGACACATATTTTGCTTAATTGTCCAGAGATTCAACCATATCTCAAGTAAGTGTTAAAAATATGTTATCAAATTACATACTAATAAGTGTTCATTAACTAACGGAATATCTGAATGTAAAATGATCAGCTAGTTCGTAAACACATGGGGTAATGAAGCCATCTATACATAATTTTCCAAATGGCTAACAAACTATGTAAGTGTGCAAGCTTACATTGAATTACTAAGTATTAAATAATATATTCATGTTATACTAAATTATATTACTTTAAATAACAATCACGTAGGTTTACGATGAATACTCAAGTGTCGAACATTTGCAATTCGTGAAAGAAGTAGCACTTGGACCTGAATCTCAAGTATTTACAATGAATAAGTATTGTGTCAATGATTTTAAGTTTCAAACTGAAGAAGTTTCTAGCAACAAGAAAACAAATAATAGTGGTGTCTACATACAAGATGATGTTGATGGTACTGGCCAAACTATTGAATATTATGGTGTCATGGCCAAACTATTGAATATTATGGTGTCATTCATGAGATTATTGAAGTGAAGTTTTCAGGTTGGCCTAAGAAGAAGATTGTACTGTTTCGGTGTGAGTGGTTTGACCCATCACACAGAGGCACAAAGGTGGACCATCAACATAATATAATTAAAATTAAGCACACCAGGAAATACAGAAGTTATGATCCTTTTATTATTGCACAAAATGCTAAACAAGTGTATTACGCTCCATAGCCATTGCGTAGAGACAAAGCTAATTGGTGGGTTGTTATAAAAACTAAGCCTGTGGAAAGAATTGAAATTGACAATGTCTTAGATGTGGCGTATCAAAATGATGTTGCAATTGTTCATCAACAAGTTGATGTTGAACTGGAAACGACACTAGAACATCCTCAACACATATTAGAAGAAGTATCTGATGATGAGATAATGAATGTTGAGGAAGAAATATCTGAGAATGAGGAAACTGAATCATTTGATGACGAATAATGGGACGATAATGAAAATGAAACAACTAAGGAGGAAGTTTGTTTTGTTATCTATTTGTTACTTTATTTTATTTATTTCTTATACTTTAATATATTATTCATGAACTGACATATTTATTATGTGGTTTGCAGGTAGAATCCTGCAAAGGATGTTGCTTGGGCTTTAAAAGATTGTGTTAGAAGAATTTTTACACATGCTTATCACTCTTGGAGTGAGATTCCAAACAGTATACGCCAGACGATATTTAATGAATTTAAGGTATATATTTTTTCGTTAAGTTTAATAATTTTAGTATACTTTACTTTTTTTTACTATCGATCTAATTAACACTATTCAAAAAAATTTCAGACTGTGTGTACTTGGAAGCCGAGGTACAATATGGTCATTGCGATCACATTTGAGAGAAGGGCATCCACAAGATTGTCTAGCTGGCTAAAGAAAGTTCGGGATACTGATCAACGTTCGGGTTGGATGTTGCCTCATGTTTTTGATGAATTGCGTCATTATTGGAACACAGATAAGTTCAAGGCAATGTCTGAACAAGCCAAAAAGGCTAGAGACAGTCTTAAGTGTGTCTCGTTGCACACCGAAGGTGCAAAGACCGTTGGAACAATTACAAGAGAGATGGTAAGTTCTAATTCAATCTTTTAAATAAATAATTAGCTGATTCATATATATATCGTTATAAATTTCAGTTTTTATTTATAGGGAAAAAAAATGGGGCACACTCCCATTGAACCGGAGGTTTTCAAGAGGACTCATGTGAAAAAGAAAGAAAATGAGTCGAATTCGGATGTATGGGTAGAGGAAAGGGCCAAACGAACTTTTGTAAGTTATTTAATATGAATAATATATATTAATAGTGAATATATTTATGATATTTATATATATTGATGTCAATTTTTATATTTAATATGCAGAATGAGTTTCATCAGTACGTCACTGAGAATCTAGATAGTTCGGTCCAACTGACACTTGAACTGTCCACCCAAATTTGGACAGAAAAAGTGGTAGGGGGGGGACACATAAGGGTAAAGTTTATGGTCGAGACTCTCGAAACGATGTAAGACGACTCCAGTCAGGCTTACAAGGTGTTGGATCGTCACGTCAAGCTGAGGCACTTGATGGTGTTCAGATTGCTGCTATGTCGGCTCAAATACACAACTTACATCGGCACTTGCAGAGTCGGAGCGGAGAAGAGTAGCTGAACAACAAAGTATAAGTGCGACCGTTCAGCAAATCAAAGAACAAGTGTTGAACCTCACTCGTCGACCTACTACATCTTCTCCTGCCGAGGACAACGACGACGACAGTGACGAGGATGATGATTTTGTAGATATCGCACTCCTTAGTTTAGGTCTCTTTTATGAACTTTATGAACTTTTTGAAATTTTGAAACGAATTTTGAAAGACTTTATAAGTCTTTAAATTGTGATTTAGATACTTTTGAATGTTAATTTAAGTTTGTTGTTTTATGTTTTGTGTAGCTTCTTTATAATGTTGTGTGTTTGATTGGGCTGAATTGACTTGCATTTGCAGGTGAACAGCTACTATAAAAAAAATTGGAGAAAAAGAGACGGACAGGGTGATTTTGTTCGTCGCTTTTCTGAATTTATTTTTTAAAACCTAGAAAAGCGACGGATAGAGTACTTTAGTCCGTCACTTTTCTGGATTTTTCAAAAAAATAATTTCCAGAAAAGCGACGGACAGGATCCTTTAGTCCGTCACTTTTCTGGGATTTTCAAAATTTAAATTTCCAGAAAAGCGACGGGCTGCGTCGCATTTTGGAAATTAAAAAAAAATTAAAAATTAAAAAAAGCGACGGACTCCGTCACTTTTGTTAAAAATAATAATAAAAAAGCGACGCAGTCCGTCACTTTTTAGCGACACAGTCCGTCGCTTTTTGAAAAGCGACGATATGATTGCGTCGGTTTTTCGTCGATTGGCCGTCATTTTTCGGCAATTTTTTAGTATTGTTCTTTGTAATGAAAACAATAGACATCTCAAAGCCATGTAATATATATATAAACATTTAATACTCAAATTGCTATATTTTTGCATATTCACTGCCTTTTGTGAAAAGTTGGAATAAATTTAAAACAGGAATATGCATGACACCTGATACTTTAACAAGGTACATGACAACAGTGGCGGAGCTAGAATTTTTAATAAGGGGCTTTAAAATCTGAAGAACTAAACACACGAACTAATCGAAGGGGTTCGACATCTATTATATATACATAAAAAATAATTTTAATCATGTATAAATAGTAATATTTTCCACCGAAGGGGGTTCGGATGAACCTCTAATGGCCTAACACAAGGCACAACCTACCATAATTCATTATTACTACATTGCACATTTACAACTTAAAACGCTTCTTTTCTCAACTACAGGTATTTTTTCAATTACATTATCATAGCAAGATGGCTATCACCACCACCTATCCAAATTCTTTATAATTATGTAAATAGCATCACATAAATGCATATACACAGTGCAATCACAAATGTAATGTATGTACAACATATGTATAGTTATATAAGAGCTATCAATATTTGTGACAATAATCACCTATTTCGTATTGGGCCCGTGCAACCGCCGTCTAGTTTTATATACAAATTTCAGATTCAATATATCTTTATGATGTATATTTTATTCAGGTTCTATACATTGGAAACAAATTAGCATTGAGGACAAAAAAATATAGTATATATTTTCTTATATGAAAACATGTATTTCAACAACCAAAAAAAAGTCTGACAACAATTTTAATACCTAATTCATATATTAAGAACCAAAATGATATATACATTTATGTAACTTGTATATAAACTGATTTTATACATGTTTATACATTGGTGAAAATTTAATATAAAGAACCAAAGCATTTAGGGTCGTTTGGTGTGATGGATAAGAGGAGTTAATCCCAGGATAATTTTCAATATATCTAAATCACATAGAAAAAAGAAATATCACACCTAGTTTAATACCTAGTTCATTCCTCAAAAATAAAATAAAATATATATATATAGCTTTATTATATATAGTATGTATACACTAAATTAATATATAAATTCAGTATATGAAATGTGTGTATAACCCAATTTCAAAAGAATATACTAAACTAAAGCTACTGAAATCATAAATTTACCAGTTTGTAGACATTATTATAATATAGATACATAAACAATATGTGTAATATGAATTGAATTGGTGTATAATATAGATATAGAAATTGATTTTAAACTGGTATAATAGACTAAATTTTATTCAAGGAAATCAGATTCTATATTTTTAATTCATTGGTAAAAACTGGTCATACTTATACGTGTATACGATTGGTTTATAAACTGATCATCCTTATATGAGAATAGATACTGAGAAAATGCTATTCTAAGTGTAAAAACAAACAAAGATAGCACTGTTAATATCAAAAATAAGTTTCACAACACTTTCAAAAACTAAATGAAGATATCCAAACGATCAACAAACTATTTTCTAATATGTTTTATTCTATTTGTTCACTCTTGGTCTTGATTTGACACTCGATAACTTCTCAACGTTGATAACAAGTTCATTTTGAAATTCTTGATCTGTCAAATTTGAAGCTTGATCGATCGCCCAATCGAAGACTATTATCATTTACTATTTTGGAGAATAAATGAAATTTCTAATTTTTCAGATATGATTTCAAATTGAAACAAAGAACAAATAAAACTCAAAAATGGAATTAAAGAAAGGGCTAGTTTCAAATATATACAATAAAGTAATAAGTTTACAACAAATATAGTCATGTTTTATTTACATAAGAAAATATCCAAAAGTCATAGAAAGTATACATTGACTATACAATATAGCTTGCTAAAAGTCATAGAGAGTATACACTGACTATACAATATATATACATGAGATATACATTGACTATACATTAAGATACACTCAAACAACTGAAATATAGCTTAACTATACATTGACTATTCAATCTCGATAAACTCAAAATCGCCTCTAGATAGTCCCAAATTTTAGATATGAAATCCTCTCGATAATTTGAGTCTATTGATTTATAACTCACTCGAAATGATTCAAGTTTTCGATCTGTCGAATTTATATAAAAAAAAGAAAGAAGAGAAGAAGATTGACGACGAAGGAGGAGAAGGGGGAAGAGAATGAGGAGGAGGAAAGAAGAAGAAGGAAATAAGTCATTAATGGTGAAACTGAAAGGAAGAAGACGAAGGTTTTCAGCCAAATTTAATAATTTTAAAAATTGGGCCAATATTCTAATTTCTAGTAATAGAAAGGATCGAATGACTACTTTGCATAATTTATCCTTAACCCCCCCAATAAATAAACATTTATGAGTAATGGATGAAAAATAAGAGAACTCCGAAAAAATATGGATGAAAGTTGAAACACGCGTGATTGAGCCTTGAGATTAGAAAAAAAAAAGAGAGAGAGAGATATGAGCATGAGTATGGGATCTTTCAGAGAAAAAATGGAGATAACTTTGAGAGTTTCCTTTCCTTTTTGAAAGACATGTATTATCCTCAAATCGCTAAAATGTAATAATTTTTTTTTGATGATTTATGTCCTTTTTTTACTTGCATACCATAATTTAAAAAATTAATCTAATATAAGATAATCCTAAAATGTTAAAACTTGTAATTAAACTATTATATTAGTAATTATTAAAGAGTATATTTATGACTTGTAATATAGGATTTTAAATAAATATAAATATGTGGCGTATTTTTTCAAAGGATAATAATAGGGATAATTTCAAATAAATACAATAAAATAATCAGTTTACAATAATAAGTCATAAAAATATACTATGACTATATAATATAACTTACATATACATGAGTTATACATTGACTATACAGTGTGATACACTCAAAAAGCTGAATATAACTTAACTAAAGAAGAAGTGTACACTTCCTATACATGAAATATACATTGACTATTCAATCCCGACCAACTCAAAATCACCTCTAAACAATCTCAAATTTTAGATATAAAATCATCTCAATGTTTTATATCTTTTGATATATAATTCTCTCAAAACGATTTAAATTTGCGGTGTATTAAATTTGAAGAAATAAAAGGAATGAAGAGGAAGAAGAAGGCACAGAAGAAAAGAAGAACGAAGAAGACGCATAAGAAGAAGGGGGAGGACGAAGAAGACAGAAGAAGGAGGACGCAGAAGATGCAGAAGGAGAAGAAAGAAAGGGTACATGGCCATTTTTAAGTTTTTTTTTTGGGAACTTTTGCAAGTAGCCACTATAATAAACTTAATTATGTTTCATAGCTATAGTTTGCATATTTACGGGTTGTAGCTACAGTTTAAGTTGCCTCATTTATATATGTAACACCCTAGAAATTTTTTGAGCTAAGACTTGAATCATCCTTCATAGTGAGTAAGTTTTTACCAAGGAATTTAAAATTTTCTTGAGTGTTAAGGTCACTAGATGTAGCACCTCGAGTTCCAAGAAGAACTAAAGAGAGTTTATTCAAGTCATTCCTAAGTTCCTTTAAGTGTTGGGTCAATTTCAAATGACCATAACTTTTAGCACATGATGAGTTAGGTGACCCTTAAGATATCAAATGAAAGGTCTTTGAATTATCTTTCCAACGCCATGTAGTTTTCTAAGTTTCGAGTTAGGATGAGTGAGATATGTCCTTTTGAAGTCAGGTTGTCTAATTAAGAAAAGTTACCTGAAAATAGTGAGGGATATTTTGGTATTTTCCTTACCCAATCAGATTTAATTCATTTTTAGTAAGGTTTTAGGGGTCTAATCTAATTAGGTTCAGTTTTATAATCCTAATATACGCCTAGGGTTTTACTTGAGAGTTCAAGAAAAGAAAAGAAGAGAAAAAAGGAGAAAAAAAGGAAAGGTTTAATGCGTTCGTCGAGATTCTTGAGTTTTGTTGCAGATTTTTGCCATGGGTTTGATCCCTAAGAGGTATGTAAGCTTCCATAGTGTTGGGTTCGTTCACCCATGCGCCAATCATGTTAATTTCAGCGTTAAATTCGTTCTAGAAAGTTGAAGGTTTGATGTTCTTGAATTGTGTTCTTGAAATTGGATTTCGTTATTGAGTTAAGATGGGATTGTTGAGTTCTTGAGGAAATCATGTCTATTTTAGAGTCGTTTATGAGTAGATTCTTGTGTACATGTGTTGGGTATCTGAATCTAAAGAGA